TAGATTTGTGGAAGTTGACCCCATGTCTGCGGATGACATCATTGAGAGGACGCATGTAGATGAGGAAAAGAAGGTGGCCAAGGATGGAGCCTTGGGGTACCCTGCAGATGACTGGGCAAGGGTGTGAGGGAAAAATATTGACCGAGATGAATTGTTGACAGTTGGTTAAGAAGGACTCGAACTCTAGAGTGCGGTCCCACTAAAGTGGATGAGGGAGGAGAGGCGGTGAAGGAGGATGGCATGGTCGACTGTGTCAAACTTGGCAGAGAGATCCAGTAGAACAAGGAGGCAGAGGGAGCCCAGGTCACAGAGAGGGAGGATGCAATTTGTTACTTTGACAAGCGCTGTCTCTGTGCTGTGGGCTGGACTGGAGGGGCTCAAGTAGGGAATGGAGGGTGAGGTGTGAGCAAAGTTGGTTTGCAACAACACGTTCCAGGGCTTTGGCCAGGAAGGGCAGGCTTGAAATGGGAAGTCCTGTAGCTTAGTGGTTAGAGCACTCACCTCGCAAGTGAGAGGACTTTGGTTCAATTCCCAGGCAGGGCGAAACATTGGACAAGTTTCCTTACTCCACCTGCCTCTGTTTACCTAGCAGTAAGCAGGAACCCAGTTGTTAGTTGATTGACGGATCGCTTTCCGGGGGTAATAATCCCTTCCAAAAAATAAATAATAATAATTTGGTCACTCAATTCACGACTGTTTGTGGGACACTGCTGTGCGAAATTGGCGTGATAAGGCGCTATATCAAATGGCGCTATAATTTCCCGGTGTCTGGAATGGAATTGCACAGTCTCTTACTGGGGGGATGCATCGTGTTTACCTAATCTGGAGTGTATTAGGAACATGTTGACAAAAACCAAGGCTTGCCATTGAGAGTATTGTCTGGCAAGGTTCTTACTGCTTTGTCAGGCTAGGACCACCCTACCTGTTAGGGCTTTGGCTTGCAGAGTGGGAAGAAACCTGCTTTTGTTGGCTGGCTGCCCCTCCAAGCCTTGCCAATAAGCCAGGCTGGCTGGTTTTGTCATCAGCAGTGCCCTGGAATACTGCGGACCCGCCTGGCTCAGAAATCTGACTACGGAGACAGAGGATTAACTCAATTCTGACATTCCGTTGTCAAGCATGTCACCTCAGAGCCAGATTGACAAACAGCACGATTGACTCCAAATACCAATCAAAGCAACCGTCTTCCTCCGCCTAACCACTCTAGCCCCACTCTATCCACCCCATCCCAGTGACTGGCTCCCGTTACTGTCCCCGCTTTTGTTTGCCTCCTTTTGCCAGCAGTCCCGAGAGGTGATCAGCGGGAGGAGATGTCAGGAAGAAGCAGCTATGAAATTCTCCATCTAGTGGCCGAGCACAGCACTAGCAGATTTCTATCCAATTGCACTCAAAATTTAAACTCTCAGAACAAGAGTCTACTTGAGAGTTACTGAGACACCCAGTGGAGAGGATGGATAATGCTTTCAATCACTATTTAAGTTTTGAACAGATCTATATTTATTGGCGTTCAACCTTAATCTTTAGTTTCAGTGAAAATAAAGTAACGTTCTTTTAATGTTATCAATCAGACATTATTTTTAACTGGGTTGCTGTTGATACAGGCTCCTATTCACAACAGGATTAATGTAGCAGCCCTGTAGTTTGATTACAATTATATCCTGTACCGCAACACAGTGGATGTACTTCAGAAGGTAAAAATCTAAATTAGAGCTTGATAGTTTTTCTTTTCTGGCTGATTAAAAGTCATATAAAGATCCAAATGCTAACTTATCCCAATAATAATAATAATAATAATCCTTGCATTTGATATAGCGCTTTTCACGTCGGAAGGACGCTTCGCAGAACACACTGTAAAGTGAATTGACTGCATATTTGTGGGCGAATGCGGCAGCCAATTGCGCACAGCAGTGTCCCACAAGCAGTCATAGATTGAAAATGACCAATTTTATTATTGTTTTTGGTTTTGGAGGGATTATTATTAGGCGTGTGGAGTAAGGAAACTTGCCCAAGGTTTCGCCCTGCCTGGAATTGAACTCAGGTTTCTCGCTTGCAAAGCGAGTGCTCTAACCACTGAGCTACAGGACTCCATAGCAATAGCAAGTGGGTGATCCATATAGTGCAGGGGTCGGTCAGGGAATACAATTCAATACATTTATATTGTGCCCTTCACATCGAGAGGACGTTTCAAGGTGCTTCAAAGTGCTGGATGGACACCTGAGCTGGGAAGGGAGCCAAAGGAGGTGAAGAGGGGAAAGGTGACCAAAAGATGACCAAAGAGGTTTGAGACGTGCCTCGAGGGGTGAGGTTGGGGGTGGTGGGGGGGAAATACTTCCAAATTTCAATCTTACTATAAATGTATAACAGAAATATGGGTCGTAGACAGAGAACGACAACAGAATTGTGATTAAATAAACTGTTTTTTTTCGAGTTGGGAGCACTGCTAGTAGAACCTAATTCTTTTTTGGTCAGCCGGGTGTCTGACACATGCGGAAACCTATCTGGGATATCCATGCATCCCACCTACACGTGGAAATCCCAGAGCTAGATTGTTGTAATGGAATGCGCACTCTCTCCCTGGAGGGACTCATCCTGCTTACCCAATTCCGGAAAGTATCAGGCACAGGTTGGCAAAAGCCCAGACCTGGGGACCATAGAGTAAGCGCTGGGGTACCGCTAGAGTCTAACCAGCTAAAACCGCAATTAAACCAGACAGTTTAACCACCTCCTTTTCTACCCTTCCCCACCCCACCTCCCAGAGTTCCTCCCTCAGCACATGGCACGCCAATGCAGGCAGGGTGCTCCCACCTCACCATCTATGAGGGGATGTTCAGGTTCACGCTAGGATCAGGGACTGCATACTGAGGGACCCACTGAAGCTCGGCTCAGCCGCAGCAAAGGCCAGATGTGGCCTGACCCCAGCCGGAGCCGCTCCTGCGCTGGCCACACTCACATTGGCATCACATCCCCACTCGCCAAGGTCCCTCCAGGGAGTGGGAGACATCAGGGAGTGCTCACCGGGTAACCCACCAGCGCACCCTAATTTGTGAATAAATGTGTGTATCCATGCAAATGTACAGAGGGCCGCTCGATGTGTAACCAAAGAGATTCCCAAAAATGTATGTCTGCCTGCCTCCCCTCCCCATAAAGGGGGGAGCAGCAGGGAGTGAGGTAAAGGATCACGGTCCGATAAAAGGATGGCAGAGTCAGGACTAGCCCCCCGGGTAACTGCTCCCTGTAGAAAAAGAGAACAGAACCCTGGCAGGGATGCTGCGGGTGTTTTCTTTGGGTAGATAGGCTCGTACGGTGAACATCGGGCGCCATCCGAAAGCGGTAAGTGCGGCTTATCACGGTGAGTGCGGGCACGCACATGGATGTAGTGCACACCGGGGCGATTCACAACCGTACAAAAAATGTGTGCACATCCTGTGTGCTGTGAACCTGTCCGCACTCCACATAAAGTGGGTCGGGGGGAAGCAGGTCAAACAACACACAGGTTATAATCCTGGAGCTGTTCCCTTTCCCTCAGGGCTTTGCAGTCAGATGCCAGCATCTCCCTGTTGGGCTTTCTTCCATTCTGCTTAACCATTCTTACATACTGTTTAAACATGCTTACACACCACTTAAACATGCTTACACACCACTTAAACATGCTTACACACTGTTTAATCATGCTTACACACTGCTTATACATGATTACACACGGCTTATACATGCTTACATACTACTTGAACATACTGCCTGTTTACTTGTGGGATGTTATTCTGGCCCAAACCCCAGGCGCATTATCATACTGTAAAAGCAGTTTGCTTTTTTAAAAAGACATGCATCCCTACATATAACCATTAACTTTTATGTGTCCATTTCTCTTAAGTCCTCTGTACACAGACATTGCAGTGATGCACATCCATACCAAACACTGCATACCCAGCATCCCTATCCTTGCCAGGCTCCACTATCTCCCAGCAGGTAAATCTGAAGCTCCTCCTTCTCACCTATAAATTCCTTCATGCCCTTGCATCTCCCTATATTTCTGATATTCTCCTACCCCGCTCCTCTGCTTGATTCTATTTTAGCTAACTTGGGCTTCACCCACATCCCTCCACACAACATTCATGGCTGAGCTTCCTGATGCTATGATCCAAATCTCTGGAATTTCTTCCTTCTCCCCCTATGTCACCCTTCTCTGGTTGTCTTTAAGTCCTGTCTTACAATCTACCTCTTCGATTGCGCCTATAGTTATCTTCCCTTCCTCCTCTCCTCTATTATTTGGAGTCCAACCACGTCCTTGTAAATCACTCTGAGATAAAAATAGGCCCTTTTTTTCCCCAATTATAAAACAATTGATTTATGATTTTGTTATTTTAAGTGATACGACTGCAGGTAATATCACACATTTGTTTTATCTGCATTCAGACCACAAACAGATTGGACATGTCACCATATGATAAACCTCTTACTGTGTTCTTATAAAAAATATATTTTAATGACTAATATGGAATTGTACATATTTTCAAAATTCCCACTTCATTGCATTACATTTAAAATTCTATTTACAATCTATAAGATAGGTAGCAACAGGTGTCGGCCTGGTTCAGTTGGTAGGACTCTTGCCTCCGAGTCAGAAGATTATGGGTTCAAGTCCGATGTTGGAACTTGGAACTCATATAGTCTAGGCTGACTCCCCAATGCAGTGCTGGAGGTGTGCTGCATTGTCAGTCCTTCAGATAAGACAATACGTCCCGTCTGCCTGTTCAGGTGGTTGTGAAAAGGTCCTATGGTGCAGTTCAAAAAGAAAAGGGAGTTTCTCCTGGTGTCCTGGCCAACAATCATCCAAATAAAATTGCTCACTCACTCCAGGGCTGCTTGTGGGACATTGCTATAGAAAATTGGCTGCCACATTTGCCCACAAAATACTTACAGGTACTTTACAGTATATCCTGTAAAGCGCTTTGAGAATTCTTGACAATGTGTTAAAGCACTATATCAAATGCAAAGATTATTATTACTAACAATCTTTAAATACATAATTCAATAAAATATACATGTGTGAATATATACAGAGTTAGTTCTTCCAGTTCATGGAGATACAAACTGAAGCTACTAACTGCACTTAGACAATCTCACTGAACTAAACAGTGCTACAATAATTGGCTCTAAAATTATGGGTGCAAAACCTCAGGCACCCAACACTCCTGGTTGGAGAACAGTATTATCTTGAGGACAGTTATAATGGCAGGCACATGTGTTAATGATCATCATTTGTTTTTCAATCGTTTTTCCTCCAGGACATTTGAAATCTACCCGTGATGTTTTGGTGGTGTGAGGTGTGCAGCATCTTCCATCATTGCAAACGCCACAGTACTTGGGCTTGTAGGACTGAACACTCGTGCATTCATTGTATTCAAAGTGAGTTGGTTTAGTTGCTTTTGGTGTTCGGACACATTTCTTACCTTTCTGAAAAAGGCACAAGAATTTCCAAGTCAGATAAGCATTGTCATTGCAGAATAGAATACAAATTTTATTCTAATTCCATTAGCTAGGGTAATATAAACCTTGTTATTCTGTGTGTTCATGGGGCAGAATCTAGTTTTCATGTGTAACAATTACAGTGTAAGGGGTGGAAGTTTATAGGAAAAGTACATTTTGTAATCCAATCAGTAAGTTCTTGCCAGCATCAATTCATTTTGTTGAATTAATTTGAAACATTAAATGTTGCTGCTATTGATTACTGTAAAAACTGAAAACCACCTGCACATGCCTGGTCAGACTTAGTGTGCAGCTGATACTAAACGTAAGTTTTGAACAAAATATACTGGATTCCCCCACCATCGGCGATCGTGCTTTCAGCCACTACGCCCCGAAACTCTGGAACACTCTCCCTCAATCCCTCTGCCTTGCCCCCTCTCTCCCCTTTTTCAAGTCCCGCCTGAAAACCTTCCTCTTCCACTGTGCTTACGGCCACCTCCACCCTTCCTCCTCCCAGGCTTGGTGTCAGGCTCCGCCACTGTTAAGCGTCCTCCATGGAGGATGCTATATAAGTCCAAGTTATTGTTGTTATTGGTTATATTTTTCCAACCTCAAACCGGAGTTTTGAAATTTAAATTTGAGGTCAATGTCAATTGAGGCAAAGATGGTCACTAGACAATCACGTCGAGCCATGGCTGGGAGACAGAGGCACCAGGCTAGGGGCAGTGGCCTTGGATCTACGTAAGTCATATCTGAGCTAACTGTCTCTTTTGGGAGGCCCCATGCAGTGGGCTGTGAGCTCAGTGTAGGCTGCTCCCAGTGCTGTGCAGCTGGGAGAGTGCTGCATTGCTAGAGGTGCTGACTTACAAATAAGACATTCAAATGAGGTCCTATCTGTTCAAGTCAATGTTAAAGATCCGATGGCACTATTGGAAAAGAGAAGGGAGTCTCCTCTTTTGTCCTGACTAACAATCTTCTAAATAAATTGGTCATTCATCTCCTGGCTGTTTGTGAGACATTGGGTGCACAAGTTAGCTGCTGATTTTGCCTCCAAATACACCATCGCTGCAATTAACAGCAATTACTGTAAAGCACTTATGCAATGGCTTGGATTTTAATCACTATATCAAATGCAAGTATTATTAACCGTGGCTGTTCCAGGCACCAACTAGACCACGCAATGGCATTTGCACAATAGGATTTGTGATTCTTGGGAGAGGGAGACTCAAGAAAATAGCAGCACCCAAAGAGAAGTCGTCTGAGAGCATGGGCCTCTTGTGAAACCAGATCCACATGGCTTATTGGCTTAGTGGAGGGTTGGCTCTGACCAGATATATAGTTAACTGGAGGTCAGGTGTTGAGTTGTATTTGGAGTTTTGAGCAGTGAGGAAACCCACCACCATCAATCGATACGAACAGGCTCTTGAGGCAGATTGAGTTTTAAGAGTGCAAGGATGTATCTTTGATCATTGTTCCAATCTTTGCCAGGGCTGTGCAAATGGCCATGTGAGTCACTTTGCCTTTCCCATTTAAGGGATTTCTGGTGCTATGCAGCTATGTTCCATTTAAACCTGCACATTTTGAGCCGTAACTCAAACTTCTTGACTATTTCTATCAGGATATCTGAAGAGCAAAAACATTAGCCTTAGAAACGTTCACAAGTTCCTGTCATAGTTATTTCAAACTAGAAAATTGCAGGCAGATGCTCAATAGGATGAGGCACATTACTGCAGGTACTTAAAGCGACCAGACACCTTCTGTAAGATCATGTCATTCTGCAATTACATTTCTGCATCTCGGTAGCAAAATGACTAAGGTTGAAAGACCAGCCTTCTGTGTTAAGTACTTGTACTCACCCTTATAATGACTTTATGATATGTACATGGCCGCACCACGCAAAGGCGTGTTTCCTTCACCATCTCGCAGTGACGGTTCTTATTAGTCACACGAGTAGATGTGCCCATGCCGCAGGTTTTGGAACAGGCACTCCACTCTGTGGTTTGCTCTATACAGTTCAGACTGGGGTTAAATGGATCCACTCCATAAGTTGCCTCTTGCCTGTAAGCTGAGGAAAAGTTTAAAATAAAACGTTATTTCAGCTACTCTAAGACTCTTTGGCAGTAATTATCTGTTTATTGATAAATTTAATAAAACTTGATGGTGAGTTTGTAATAAGGTTTACAAGAAGGATTGCAGAATCACTCCCTTTAACTACATAAGTACATAAACAATCACTCCCCTGTAAATGAACTGGAATGGCTTTTCTCTTTGTCACAATTACAAATGTGCCAGTCTCTTTCATTCCCCTCAAGATCCAAATTAAATACGGTTAATCCCATCCTCACCTGATTTGCACACATTTCCAGCACAGGTTCTCAGTAACCATCAATGGTGAGATCTCGGGCTAATATGGCCCTCACTGGCCCAATGGATCTTAACCCAATTGTACTGCAATCCACTGTAGCCATGGCTGAGATTAACTGACTCGGCACAGCACAACCTGCAACCTTTGACGCAGCTTTAGGTCCACAACTCTCTCCAAATGTTATCCTCTCTGAAGTCAACAACGTCTCCTGAGAGTTTACAATACAATTACAATTTATACTTATATAGCACCTTTCATGTCTGGTGGTAGTGAGGGGGGGAAAGCTGTAAATAAAAAGATTTCTTACCTGCCATTGCAAATCCCCCAGTAGAAGTTGACTCTTTGTGGTCACACACCCATTGCTCACAACACTCTCCTGGCATTTGTACTTGTTTGGGAAAGGGGCAGTCAGGACCAGGCAGGAGGACATCCAGGTTACAGCGGGGGACACAGCCGATCAGACCATCTTTACAGGAACACTGATATTTGCAGCTTGGCTGGAAAGTCTCACCATTTCGATAGACAACTCCATCATACATACAAATATTACCTTCATGTGCTAGAACAGAAATGCCATGGGTTAGCCACGGGCTACTTTTATGTTTATATTATTTCTTATTAATGTGCTATCTATAAAACAACAACAGTGCATTTTCTGATGAATTAACCTGGAAGGAAATAAAGACACTGCAGATGAGTGGAACAACTGAGCTGGGTTTCATTGATCGTGCTATTGTTAAACTTATGCTCATATTAAATTATGTTTGAAAATTTCATGAGGAGGTTTATGGTCATTTGCCTTTTCATCTACAGACATTGATTTCTGAGGCTAACTGGATGACTACACATTGATTTAAGTGTGCAGTGCTCCACCAGACAGATCCAGCTTTCCTCAGCCACCGCTAAACATTTAACAATGACTCAGTGTGAGATTTGGCAAACGTACAGCAAGTTCACAATGAATAAGCAATTTCACATTACTAAACTATTGGGATCAACAGGTTACATGACACAAGAGGGAATCACAATTCTACCCTCTTCTCTGCTGATGCTCACAAATAAAAAGTCTCCAGCAGAGGTCACTGCATTGCTAACAACAGGAGTGATTAACCTTGGCTGATTTCCCCCTCTCTCAACACTGAAACAGTGAGAAAAAATATTGCACCTATACCCAACTTGATACAAGTCGAACAGTATAGAAAACAATAAATTTTCAGACTTTTTTTGCTTCCTGGATGTAACTGCAGATAGATCGATATCTGTTGCACAAATCTGTGCGACTGAGCACAGGCGACCTGAGTGAGGAGGGCTGTGTACAAGAACTTCACGATGTGTTTCTTGATGCCCTAAATGTATTACTTGGCACCAGTTCACAATCACTGCTTGCGATCTGAGAGCGAAGGAGCTGTTTAGAGTTATTCTATTCTTGAGTGTTCTCTGGCTACTTTTATCGTGGGCAGAAAATACAGATCAGTGGCAGATTTTTACTGATTTTTTGTGATGGTGGTTTTTGGGGGGTTGGGGGGGGAATCTCCTTTCTTTCCCCAGATTGATACAAAAAGGGGGATGACTGGGAGTCAGGTTTTTATTGTGTAGACAAAAAAGACGTTAATAGTCCTTGCAGACCCTACAGTAATCAGACATGATATGAACAACTTATTCAGCCACCACTGCACCATTAGTGCTGAGCAGAAATCCGTGCATCCATTCTAAAGTATTCTAAAGTATAACGCATCCAGCCTAAAAGCCACACAATAGAAATATGCACGTTATAAAACTGCTCAACACGTAGCAAGAAAAGCACGCGCGCTGGCTAACTGACCCGAAGCGGGCACTTTATAACATTTAGGACTGTGGTACACTGTTGTTGAAAAGGGACATTGGAAAGGCTGGCGGGTTGCAAGAGTCTAGTTTGCAGATAAACTAGCGTGTGCGTTAAATAAAATAATCAACTCACCGATGCAGACTCCCAGGCCGTGCCGAGGGTCGGAGCTGAAGTCGCACTGCAGCCCCTGGTTCGGGTCACACGTGTCTCCCTGGCCGCAGAGCTCGCCCGCTTGCTTAGCGCAAACCTGACAGCAGCCACAGCCGTCCAGCACCAGGCGGACCCCAGGCACACAGCTCGGCCCATGCTTTGGGCACTGGCAGGTGTTAGAGCAGCACTGGGTCAGCAACATCTGTACAACACAACAAACCAACATCAGACTAACATTACAACACTAAACCACACAGTCCCTGGTTTCAGAGCTCAACATCAATGGACTCTGAACATAAATATGTGGGGTTTCGCCCACAAAATACATAGTCACTACACTTTACAATATATTCTGTGAAGCGCTTTGAGACGTCCCGAAGGCGCTGCATGAAATGCAAGGATTATCACTATTAAATATGCAGATTTGCTTCATTATTTCAAAAGAGAATCCATTCAGTAAAAACATCATGTTATTTTTTGAAATGTTTAAATGGAATGTTTTGCCATTAGCTTCAATGTTTACAAACATCGTACTCCACAGAGTAAAAGAGTCAAACAACACTCCGACTGTCAGCAACAGCAGCACTTAAATGACTTCAAAGGCCATGGTATTAAACGCATTTATTCACCTTATTTAAAAGGAAAAACGCAGCTGTTAGCACCAAGTGCCTCATACTGCAGCAGTACTTGGCGTTTTCAAACCTGGTGTCTGTCCTATGCCTTTACAGTCTACACCATACACCAGGACTGACTGACTGCTCTCTCTCTCTCTCTCTCTCTCACTGACTGCTTTCTTTCTTTCTCTCTCTCTCTCTCTTGCTGACTTCTCTCTCTTTCTCTCTTACTGACTGCTCACTCTCTCTCTCTCTCTCTCTCTCACTGACTGCTTTCTTTCTCTCACTGACTTCTCTCTCTCTCTCTCTCTCACTGACTGCCTTCTTTCTCTCTTTCTCTCTCTCTCACTGACTTCTTTCTCTCTCACTGACTTCTCTGTTTCTCTCTCACTGACTGTTTTCTTTCTCTCTCTCTCTCTCTCACTGACAGTGTCTGTCTGTTGTCTGTGGCTGTCTGGCTGTTGTCTCTGGCTCTGTGGTGGTTGTCTGTGGCTCTGTGGCTGTTGTCTGTGGCTCTGTGGCTGTTCTCTGTGGCTGTCTGGCTGTTGTCTGTGGCTGTCTGTCTGTGGCTCTGTGGCTGTTGTCTGTGGCTGTCTGGCTGTTGTCTGTGGCTGTCTGTCTGTGGCTCTGTGGCTGTTGTCTGTGGCTGTCTGTCTGTGGCTCTGTGGCTGTTGTCTGTGGCTGTCTGTCTGTGGCTCTGTGGCTGTTGTCTGTGGCTGTTGTCTGTGGCTCTGTGGCTGTTCTCTGTGGCTGTCTGTGGCTGTTGTCTGTGGCTGTCTGTCTGTGGCTCTGTGGCTGTTGTCTGTGTCTGTTCTCTGTGTCTGTCTGTTCTCTGTGGCTGTCTGTTCTCTGTGGCTGTCTGTCTGTTGTCTGTGGCTGTTCTCTGTGGCTGTTGTCTGTGTCTGTTCTCTGTGGCTGTCTGTCTGTTCTCTGTGGCTGTCTGTCTGTTCTCTGTGGCTGTCTGGCTGTTGTCTGTGGCTGTTGTCTGTGGCTGTTGTCTGTGGCTGTTGTATCACACACTGTGGAGCTGTCACTGCAGCAGTTTATAAAGCCACTGCTCCGCTCCTGTGCGGCGCTTATTGGCTGTTCACCCACACCCCCCCCCCCCCCACCATAGCCTGGTCTGTCAGTGAGTGGGACAGTGAGTGGATGAGAGGAAGAGACAGTGAGTGAGTGAGTGAGAGAGAGACAGTGAGTGAGAGTGAGTGAGTGAGAGAGAGACAGTGAGTGAGAGTGAGTGAGTGAGAGAGTGAGAGAGAGACAGTGAGTGAGAGTGAGTGAGAGAGTGAGTGAGACAGTGAGTGATTGAGAGAGAGTGAGACAGTGATTGATTGATTGAGTGAGTGAGTGAGTGAATGAGTGAGACAGTGAGTGAATGAGTGAATGAGAGAGTGAGACAGTGAGTGAGACAGTGAATGAGTGAGTGAGTGAGTGAGTGAGAGAAAGAGATAGTGAGTGAGACAATGAGTGAGTGTGTGAGACAGTGAGTGAGTGAGTGAGAGACAGTGAGTGAGAGTGAGTGAGTGAGAGAGAGACAGTGAGTGAGAGTGAGTGAGTGAGTGAGTGAGAGAGAGACAGTGAGTGAGAGTGAGTGAGTGAGAGAGAGACAGTGAGTGAGAGTGAGTGAGTGAGTGAGTGAGAGAGAGACAGTGAGTGAGAGTGAGTGAGTGAGAGAGAGAGACAGTGAGTGAGAGTGAGTGAGTGAGTGAGAGAGAGACAGTGAGTGAGAGTGAGTGAGTGAGAGAGAGACAGTGAGTGAGAGTGAGTGAGTGAGTGAGAGTGAGACAGTGAGTGAGACAGTGAGTGATTGAGAGAGAGTGAGACAGTGAGTGATTGATTGAGTGAGTGAGTGAGTGAGACAGTGAGTGAATGAGTGAATGAGAGAGTGAGACAGTGAGTGAGACAGTGAATGAGTGAGTGAGTGAGAGAAAGAGACAGTGAGTGAGACAATGAGTGAGTGTGTGAGACAGTGAGTGAGTGAGTGAGTGAGTGAGAGAGAGAGAGACAGTGAGTGAGAGTGAGTGAGTGAGAGAGAGACAGTGAGTGAGAGTGAGTGAGTGAGTGAGAGAGAGACAGTGAGTGAGAGTGAGTGAGAGAGAGACAGTGAGTGAGAGTGAGTGAGTGGGAGTGAGTGAGTGAGTGAGAATGACAGTGAGTGAGACAGTGAGTGATTGATTGAGTGAGTGAGTGAGACAGTGAGTGAATGAGTGAATGAGAGAGTGAGACAGTGAGTGAGACAGTGCATGAGTGAGTGAGTGAGTGAGTGAGAGAAAGAGACAGTGAGTGAGACAATGAGTGAGTGTGTGAGACAGTGAGTGAGTGAGACAGTGAGTGAGTGAGACAGTGAGTGAGTGAATGAGTGAGTGAATGAGTGAGTGAGTGAGTGAGACAGTGAGTGAGTGAGTGAGTGAGTGAATGAGAGTGAGTGAGTGAGAGAGACAGTGAGAGTGAGTGAGTGAATGAGAGAGAGTGAGTGAGTGAGAGTGAGACAGTGAGTGATTGAGAGAGAGTGAGAGAGTGAGTGAATGAATCAGTGAGTGATTGAGTGAGTGAGTGAGTGAGTGAGACAGTGAGTGAATGAGTGAATGAGAGAGAGTGAGTGAGAGTGAGTGAGTGAGAGAGAGACAGTGAGTGAGAGTGAGTGAGTGAGAGAGAGACAGTGAGTGAGAGTGAGTGAGTGAGAGAGAGACAGTGAGTGAGAGTGAGTGAGTGAGTGAGTGAGAGAGAGACAGTGAGTGAGAGAGAGTGAGTGAGAGAGAGAGACAGTGAGTGAGAGTGAGTGAGTGAGTGAGAGAGAGACAGTGAGTGAGAGTGAGTGAGTGAGAGAGAGACAGTGAGTGAGAGTGAGTGAGTGAGTGAGAGTGAGACAGTGAGTGAGACAGTGAGTGATTGAGAGAGAGTGAGACAGTGAGTGATTGATTGAGTGAGTGAGTGAGTGAGACAGTGAGTGAATGAGTGAATGAGAGAGTGAGACAGTGAGTGAGACAGTGAATGAGTGAGTGAGTGAGAGAAAGAGACAGTGAGTGAGACAATGAGTGAGTGTGTGAGACAGTGAGTGAGTGAGTGAGAGAGAGAGAGACAGTGAGTGAGAGTGAGTGAGTGAGAGAGAGACAGTGAGTGAGAGTGAGTGAGTGAGTGAGAGAGAGACAGTGAGTGAGAGTGAGTGAGAGAGAGACAGTGAGTGAGAGTGAGTGAGTGGGAGTGAGTGAGTGAGTGAGAATGACAGTGAGTGAGACAGTGAGTGATTGATTGAGTGAGTGAGTGAGACAGTGAGTGAATGAGTGAATGAGAGAGTGAGACAGTGAGTGAGACAGTGCATGAGTGAGTGAGTGAGTGAGTGAGTGAGTGAGTGAGAGAAAGAGACAGTGAGTGAGACAATGAGTGAGTGTGTGAGACAGTGAGTGAGTGAGACAGTGAGTGAGTGAGACAGTGAGTGAGTGAATGAGTGAGTGAATGAGTGAGTGAGTGAGAGAGAGACAGTGAGAGTGAGTGAGTGAATGAGAGAGAGTGAGTGAGTGAGAGTGAGACAGTGAGTGATTGAGAGAGAGTGAGAGAGTGAGTGAATGAATCAGTGAGTGATTGAGTGAGTGAGTGAGTGAGACAGTGAGTGAATGAGTGAATGAGAGAGAGTGAGACAGGGAGTGAGACAGTGAATGAGTGAGTGAGTGAGAGAGAGAGACAATGAGTGAGTTCATGAGACAGTGAGTGAGTGAATGAGTGAGTGAGTGAGACAGTGAGTGAGTGAATGAGTGAGACAGTGAGTGAGTAAGTGAATGAGAGTGAGTGAGTGAGTGAGTGAGAGTGAGTGAGTGAATGAATCAGTGAGTGAATGAGAGAGAGTGAGACAGTGAGTGAGTGAGTGAGTGAGTGAGAGACAGTGAGTGAGAGTGAGTGAGTGAATGAATGAATCAGTGAGTGAATGAGAGAGTGAGACAGTGAGTGAGACAGTGAGTGAGTGAGAGAGAGACAGTGAGTGAGACAATGAGTAAGTGCGTGAGACAGTGAGTGAATGAGTGAGTGAGTGAGTAAGTGAGTAAGTGATTGAGTGAGACAGTGAGTGATTGAGTGAGTGACAGTGAGTGAGAGAGAGAGTGAGTAAGACAGTGAGTGACTGAGTGAGACAGTGAGTGATTGAGTGAGTGAGTGAGAGAGTGAGTGAGTAAGACAGTGAGACAGGGAGTGAGGCAGTGAGTGAGTGAGGCAGTGAGTGATTGAGTGAGTGAGACAGTGAGTGATTGAGTGAGTGAGTGAGTGAGAGAGTGAGTGAGTAAGACCGTGAGACAGGGAGTGAGGCAGTGAGTGAGTGAGGCAGTGAGTGATTGAGTGAGTGAGACAGTGAGTGATTGAGTGAGTGAGTGATTGAGTGAGTGAGTGAGAGAGTAAGTGAGTAAGTGATTGAGTGAGACAGTGAGTGATTGAGTGAGTGAGTGACAGTGAGTGAGAGAGAGAGAGTGAGTAAGACAGTGAGTGACTGAGTGAGGCAGTGAGTGATTGAGTGAGTGAGTGAGTGAGAGAGTGAGTAAGTAAGACAGTGAGTGAGAGAGAGAGACAGTGAGTGAGACAGTGAGTGAGAGAGAGAGACAGTGAGTGAGACAGTGCATGAGTGAGTGAGTGAGTGAGTGAGTGAGAGAAAGAGACAGTGAGTGAGACAATGAGTGAGTGTGTGAGACAGTGAGTGAGTGAGACAGTGAGTGAGTGAGACAGTGAGTGAGTGAATGAGTGAGTGAATGAGTGAGTGAGTGAGACAGTGAGTGAGTGAGTGAGTGAGTGAATGAGAGTGAGTGAGTGAGAGAGAGACAGTGAGAGTGAGTGAGTGAATGAGAGAGAGTGAGTGAGAGTGAGACAGTGAGTGATTGAGAGAGAGTGAGAGAGTGAGTGAATGAATCAGTGAGTGATTGAGTGAGTGAGTGAGTGAGTGAGACAGTGAGTGAATGAGTGAATGAGAGAGAGTGAGACAGGGAGTGAGACAGTGAATGAGTGAGTGAGTGAGAGAGAGAGACAGTGAGTGAGAGAGAGAGACAGTGAGTGAGACAATGAGTGAGTTCATGAGACAGTGAGTGAGTGAATGAGTGAGTGAGTGAGACAGTGAGTGAGTGAATGAGTGAGACAGTGAGTGAGTAAGTGAATGAGAGTGAGTGAGTGAGTGAGTGTGA